GTGGTTAAATATCCATATTAGCAGAGTTACTAATAACATTCTTTTTTGCGAGCAATTTTTTTCTAAAAAAAACATTTCGTGTGTACTACTAATATTGATAAATTCGTTATGTTTTTCTCTACATGTGCATGCGTTTCGTATGAGGTTTAATTTTAATGGTGTAACGATATTCAACTTCGTTGAACTCGTTCAGTTTTTCACTAATTGTCTACACGATTTATACATGTATTTACGTTTTTCGATAAACCATTAATTTAATTACCGTTATTATTAATGACACTATTATTATTATTATTATTATTATTATTATTATCATTATTAACTCCTCCTGTAGCTCTTCTAGAGTTACTGCCGGTCCCAAGCCCGAGTGAAGGAGGAGGGTTGGGCATGGGGTTAGCGTCCCCATCCCGTAGAAAACTAACTCGCTAAAAAACGCTTACCAGAAAAAATAATCCAAACCATTTTAACTCTGCCCTGGGAGTAAGAAAGTCTTCATTTAGAAGATTTATGACGCTTCATGGTAAAAGCCGAGTTCCTTCGGAAGCCACGAGGCCGATGCCCCTTCTAACGACCAGAACAAAAAATTTTATAGGTACATGGAACGTCCGAACAATGTGGGAGACCGGGAAGACCAGTCAAATAGCAATGGAAATGAGGAGATACAACTTGGCAGTACTGGGAATCAGCGAAACCCACTGGACCCAAGCTGGACAGTAAAGGCTAGCTACTCAATGCTACATGGATCTCACTGGACTACACTACAGAGAACCAAATAGATCATATTTGCATCAACAAAAAATTCCGAAGGACAATGGAAGATGTGAGAACCAGAAGAGGTGCTGAGATAGTTTCAGATCACCACCTAGTTGTAGCCAATTTAAAACTGGAGCTAAAAAAGAACTGGACAACTGGGCAAACAGCACCACAAAGGTTCAATACAGCCTTCCTTCGAGATACTGTCAAACTCAATGAATTCAAGATAGCTCTCAACAACAGGTTCCAAGCCTTACAAGATCTACTGAAAGAAGAAGAAACTAGTATGGAGGATAACTGGAAAGGCATCAAGGAAGCATTAACTTCAACGTGTCAAGAGGTTCTGGGTCTAAAGAAATACCATCATAAGGAATGGATCTCCACAGAAACACTGGACAAGATCAGAGAAAGGAAGAACAAGAAGGCAGCAATAAACAACAGCCGAACACGAGCATAGAAAGTCCAAGCACAAGCTGAATACATAGAAGCAAACAAACAAGTGAAGATGAGCATTAGAGCCGACAAGAAGAAATACGTGGAAGAACTAGCAACGACGGCAGAAAAAGCTGCTACAGAAGGAAATATGAAACAGCTTTACGATACAACGAAGAAACTAGCAGGGAATTACAGTAAACCAGAGAGGCTGGTCAAAGACAAAGAAGGCAAGCCAATCACCGAAATTCAACAACAGCGTAACAGATGGGTAGAATACTTCGAGGAACTCCTGAATAGGCCGGCTTCAATGAATCCACCGGACATCGAAGCAGCACACATAGATCTTCCTATAGATGTCAACCCACCAACGACGGAAGAAATTAGAATGGCCGTCAGACAAATCAAGAACGGGAAAGCAGCAGGACCCGACAACATACCAGCTGAAGCACTGAAATCAGACATCGAAACAACCACAAGCATGCTTTATCTTCTATTCAAAAAGATTTGGGAGGAGGAACAAGTGCCGATGGACTGGAAAGAAGGGCGCCTCTTCAAGATTCCAAAGAAAGGAGATCTGAGCAAATGTGAGAACTACAGAGGCTTTACACTACTGTCAATACCAGGGGAGGTCTTCAACAGAGTGTTGCTGAACCGGATGAAAGATGCAGTAGACGCCCAACTTCGAGATCAACAAGCTGGATTCCGTAAGGATTGGTCGTTCACAGACCGGATTGCGACACTACAGATCATCGTCGAACAATCAGTTGAGTGGAACTCGTCACTGTACATCAACTTCATCGATTATGAAAAGGCATTTGACAGTGTAGTTGGGAGAACGTTATGGAAACTTCTTCGACACTACGGAGTTCCTGAGAAGATTGTCAAAACTATCCGGAACTCATACGACGGACTACAATGCAAAGTAGTGCATGGAGGACAGCTGACAGATGCACTCCAAGTAAGGACCGGTGTCAGACAAGGCTGCTTACTCTCTCCCTTTCTCTTTCTTCTGGTGGTCGACTGGATTATGAGAACCTCGACATCTGAAGTGAAACACGGAATACAATGGACAGCTCAAAATCAATTAGACGATTTGGACTTCGCAGATGACCTGGCCCTCCTATCCCATACAAATGAACAAATGCAGATCAAGATAGCCAATGTAGTAGCAGTCTCTGCATCAGTAAGTCTCAACATCCACAAGGGGAAAACCAAGGTCCTCAAATTCAAAGCGGAGAACAGCAATCCAATCACTCTTGATGGCAAAGCTCTGGAAGATGTAGAATCTTTCACATACCTGGGAAGCGTCATCGATGAACAAGGAGGCTCAGATGCAGACGTAAAGGCAAGGATTGGCAAAGCAAGGGTCGCATTCCTACAATTGAAGAACATATGGAACTCAAAACAACTTTCAACCAATATCAAAGTGAGAATCTTCAATACGAACGTCAAGGCAGTTCTACTGTATGGAGCTGAAACTTGGAGAACCATAGCAACCACAATCAAGAAAGTACAAGTATTTATAAATAGCTGTCTACGCAAGATACTCAACATTCATTGGCCGGATACCATCAGCAATAGCCTACTGTGGAAGAGAACAAACCAACTCCTGGCTGAATTGGAAATTAGGAAAAGACGATGAGAATGGATAGGACACACATTACGCAAATCGTCACACTGCATCACGAAGCAAGCCCTAACTTGGAATCCTGAAGGGAAGGACAAAGAACACATTACGTCGGATAATAGAAGCAGATATGGAAAGGATGAATTACAACTGGAAAGAGCTGGAAAGGATTGCACAGGACAGGGTTGGATGGAGAATGCTAGTGAGCGGTCTATGCTCCTTCACGAGGAGTAACAGGCGTAAGTAAGTAAGTATTATTATTATTAATATACACTCCGTTATTGTTGTTAAACCTTTTATATACATAAAAACAAGATACACAATTTTTTTCTTCTCTTTACTACAAGAGGAACTTTGTTTGTAAAGATGTATACACGTATGAATTTTTTTATACAACATTTGTTTATCCTTTTCGTTGTGTAATTTTCTTTTCCCTCTAAACCATATAGAGCTTTACGTCGGGCATACTTCCACTGAGGCATGCCCTAAGGTAGGAGTTATATGGTGACGTATATTCAACGCGTTTTGTTAAAGACAAAATAAAAGCCGTATTTTCTCTCTAGTTTGTCACACTTTATATGTAAACACATTTTTATTCAATATCTGTTGTTTTTCTGTACTACATGTTAATAACGATAATTGTTTCGATGAACAATATACGATTTTACTACCGCGAGGTTTAAAAATTATAAAGCGCTATGTACACCGTTTGTTCTTCTACTTTATTGACCACGGTTTTTGATTGAAGACTATAATGGTGTTATAACATCCCTTTAACCCTTCCGAACACCACGTTGGAATTCTGGCACGGATTATTATATTATAATACTATTGGACGTAATCATTCTCAATACGCCGTTGGTGCAATTACTTGCAGAGGAACCTTCGTTAATCGAGTGAACTTATTTGTGGTTGTTGTTCTCACGAAGCAGCTCACAAGTAACATTTATTCTACAGTAACTGTTATTGTCTGTTTGTATAATATACCATTTGTATCGTAACTACATTTCGTTACTCTTGGTTTTTACTCACAGACGCGCGCTTTGGTTTTTTACCATTAATTCTTTTTTAGTATATTATTATCAAACCAGTGTATTGATATACCGTTTATAAGCTCCTTTTTGTTGGGAACCACCCCAGTCTCAATTAGATGCAGCTGGCTGTGGACAAATGTTTAGAATCTTTTTGACAGCTGGGACTTTTAGTTCATCAGACACCAACTCTGCTTGTATGTTTTCTTGTTAATAAACTAGACGCAGATGTTTGGGAATACTTAAACGGGAGCAAAATAATAAAAGCATTGCAATACGGTACTAAGCCCATGTTATGCTTTGCGCAAGTAATAGTAGTTGACCTTATCTAATATTCATGAACTCAAGTTAAATCACAATTGCATAAATTCTTTGCTAAAAAACATGTAATTTGTTTATTTATCTATTTCACATTTCTGACTAAATTCATCATCATTTTTTTCATTTAGAATGCAACAGGAGTGAGTCTTCGCAGACCCTGAAAACTGTTTCGCCCTTGGAACTGTTTACGGGAGACCCAACGAACAGCAGATTATAAAAAGAATGCTAAACGTTCATTTTAGTCTCACAACCACTTCCAGTATTTTTTTGACTTCTTTCACTCTTTCGGGCGAGACTCTAATTTAGGGATGAGCCAATCAGAAGCGTTTGAGCAATTTCAAGGTCACGGAGCCAAGTTCAACACGCGCTGCTAACATACAATCGGTTCAAAGCGGATTTTAGAGAGTAGGTGATTAATGAGAGGTTACAACAGATGGGACGACGAAACTATAATTTAGGGACGAGCCAATGAGAAGCGTTTGAGCAATTTCAATTATTAGCCAATCAGAAGACAGTATAAAGTAAAAATATATTACAAGAAAGTAATGAATTACAGTGGATATTCTTTTACATGATTTAAAAACTTGTTAAGGTTTGATAAAGTTTCAGAAGTTCTGAATTCATAATGCATATTGTATAGAAACTCGTCCATAGGGTTAGGGTTTGGGGTTAAAATTAGGGTTAACGGTTAGGTTAAGGTTAGGGTTAGATTAGGGTTTAGGGCTAAGGTTAGGGTTTTTGGGTTAGATTAGGGTTTGTGGTTAGAGTTAGGTTTGGTTAGGGTTAGATTAGGGTTAAGGTTAGGGTTAGATTAGGATTTAGGGTTAGGTTAAGGTTAGGGTTAGATTAGGGTTTAGGGCTAAGGTTAGGGTTTTTGGGTTAGATTGGGGTTAGGGTTAGGTTTGGTTAGGGTTAGATTAGGGTTTAGGGTTAGGTTAGGATTAGGGTGCTAACATGCGATCGGTTTACATCGGATTTTAGAGATGTGTCTACTTACAGGCTACAACCCTAACCACTAACCCTATGAACGAGTTTCTATATAATATGCATTATGAATTCAGAGCCTCTGAACCTTTATCAAACCTTAACAAGTTTTTAAATCATGTAAAAGAAGAATATCCACTGTAATTCATTACTTACAATATATTCTCACTTTATACCAACTGTCTTCTGATTGGCTAATAATTGTCAAGGTCACTTAAGATTCGTTCAAAGCTCGTCCTTAAATTAGAGTCTCGCCCTCTTTCGTTTGGAAAAAACAACAAAAACTGCAGCTTAACATTACCAATACAACGTTTAGACGGGGACTTGGTTTAAACCTTTGTTTGATATTCGATTCTTAATGAAAGTTCTTGAATAAAGTTTTGAATCTAATGCTACTTTGTCTTATCTACTTAATCGTTGCAAGAAACTTGTGATAAGCGAGCCTCTCAGCACCTAGTTCATGTGTTCAAATGGTTGTGGACGGAATGGAAGGAGCTTTCGCTTAACAGGCTTCCGTGTCTAGTAGCAGAGGGTCACCAAAACCTCCAGGCAGGAACCTAGGTATGTTAACAATAAAGGAGGAAAGAGAAATTGGTAAATCATAGTATGATACTATACTTAGTCCTTAAGAATAAACCCAGTTGCCTCTTAGAGGACTCCTGGGAAGTCGCTTGGACTAGCTCGGCCGGCAGAAAATTCCAGCATTTGACAACTATTAAGGAGGAGCAGTTGTGCCTACAGTCCGTTCTGCTATGTTGTATCTCTAGTTTCTGGGTGTTACCCTGTAGCTTAGTGTTGCAACTAAGCTTAAGTAGGTGTTTTAGGGGATGTCCAGGAGTGTTAAGGTTATTGTAAGCCATTAGGTCACCTCTAAGACGTCTATACTGTAATGAGTAGAGTTTAAGTGATTGGAGGTGCTCTTCATAAGGTGATTTGGTGCATATCCTCGTCATTTCCTTGGGAGACCTACAGACTCGGGTCCTCATAGCTTATTCTAACCACCATGGGTTGTCACGCCAGCTGATGGATGGACACGCGTTACACATCCTAACCGTACCTGCTTCTTATCTTATAGCTTCTAATTCAAATGCCATATGACAAGCAAGCAATGCCCCTACCCGCACTAATGCAACACTAGTTACTCAAATGCACCCTGTATGGTACCTTACATTGGTCTACGCACTCACTTAGCTCTTTAGTGAGAATATTATTACAGTCGTGCTAAAAATCCCATGAACCCCCCTACCTCCATCAAAACAAATAAGTCTGTATTTGCTGCATATAGCAATTTTATTTTTCAGAAGTAAGATATAACAGTTAGAATTATAGTAAAATGGCAGTACCCAGCAGATACACGTGGTACATATCTTCATCGATTAACTGAAATATGTTTGACATCATAAACGATGGAATTAGCTTGATGCAATTACCGAACATTATGTTGTACACTCAAAAAAAAATAACTAGCGAATTCTTTAGGTTAAAAATACACATTGATATGAGTGTTTTCATCAATTCTAGATTAGCATATCATTAAGTCCCTATTACTTATCGAAATTAAACAGAAACACACAAATATATCAGGTTAATTAATGCGTCAAAGAGCGTCTTGATAAGATGTTATTTTCACTATTTCCAGGAAAATCATTTACTTTCCAGTGGTGAATTATGACTAGTTATCTGTTCTGTGCATTTTACAGTTATCATGTAGGTTAGACTGAAACACGACTAACCTGTATGTAACTGGATGTGGATATATGTCCATACTAATTATATGCTCATGGTATGTTTCCTCAAAATATTGAATATTTACGTTAGTGTTGTAAACTCGGTGAAAAAAATGTCGACCTTTGAATTTGATTTATCAATATCAGAATGTGTTACTCACCGTCATTATCCAAAATTTCTCTGCATTTTGCTTGGTCTCAGCTCTATTCGCTTTTGAGTTTATCATCACTCTCTCAATAAGATACTTGAGTACATACAGTTAACCCATTATATATCGATTTCCGCGTGTCAGGCTTCGAGTTTTATTATGCTGATCAGATAATCCTACTACGTGCATGTCGGTATTTGTTATATTCAGTTCCTTTATAAGCACAACTTCTTTTGTGACTTTCAGAGTAAACATTCGTTCCATAGTTTAAACTGTCTAAATTCTTATCACATTTATCAGATATGATTTGGCTACACGAGTTCGCGCTTGGGTCAAAACAGATTTAGATATCCAAATCAGTATGGATGCTGTTAAGTATCATTTGAGTCATTTTATGGATTCGCGTAAAACACTTTGTGGTCGTTTATGCACGATCGAAGCCAAAATAAAGTTGCCGACAAGACGGTCAACCTTATGATATGTATATTGAAGAAGTGAACAGTCTAACTGAATCGATTCAATGTCAAACACAAGTGATTAGCGATTTGCAACAAAAACTTATGGATGCCGGTGAAAGATCGTCGACAGATGCCTCCGGTCCACCTGATTCGACTGGTCAAATGCTCTCGTCTCGTTTATGCCAACTACATAACATCCAAGAAGCACGAATAGCTTTGAAATATCTATTCAGACAAGTAGGTTGTACTTTTTATTCTTTTCTAACCAGACTGGCCAATTGATGCATCTGTCCAAATTGTCAAGCTACATTTGAATAGTCAGTTGGAGATTGTAAATCATCATTATCATTATTTTCTGATATGGATGTACAAGTTTGTTGTTTGTTTAAATTATACGTTTCATTAATCAGTGTGTGAGTCATATGTTTATTTTTGTTGTTCTTCAATCAAATTTGTAGTGCACGAGTTTTACGTTTGGGACGTAATATAACGGGAAATCCAGATGGTGGTCCCATAACAGTTGCAGGATTTTCTACTGAACTGACTATTTGACTGTTTTGCGATGATGAATCTGAACGATTTTTGCGTAGACCTAATACACAGTGACAATGTGATGGGACACACGGACGACCAGAACGTTTACAACTACACCGTGCTTGACATGTTCCTCGGAATTTACATCGACGTTTATGTTAATCTGCATCAGATTTTGACTGATTAATGGAAATAAAAATGAATTTATTTAATAACTATTTAACATCACTATGAATATGTACAAATATTGTTAAGTAAATATTTCGACATTAAACTGTAAAGTGAACTCACTCTTGAACTGCCCACCCAGAACACACTTTATATCACATCTCAATTCACGTTTCCATGTCAAAGAGTAAATGGTTGACAGTTATGATTAAACTTACAGGAAGTATGAAATAGCTCACGTCAGAATCATAAAGAGATAGAATATGTACGATATATGTATACCTGATTTCAATCACAGAGACCATTCCGTTCTAAGAAAACAGTTTGGGCTTATCTTAGATGATGTATTCATGTCATATGTGGGAAAATATGACGAGCGAGCTTATTAGTGCGGCAACTCTATATAGAAGATGCATGGATGATATTCTAATTATATGTGATAAGGATTTTGATGTTTACCGATTATTGGATAAATTCAATGGTGTTCAAGATGATATTGTGATGACATATGAATCAGAAAGTAATGGCCAATTAGCCTTTTTAGACATACTTTTAAGTCGAAGAGATGATGGCACTGTTAGACGGTCAGTGTGAAGGAAACCAATCTGGACGGGACAATACTTAAATTTCCATAGTTTCTGTCCACTGCAATACAAAAGAGGTCTGGTTAAGTGTCTCTTTAAGAGGACTTTATTATTTATTTATTTTACCACATAGATATTGGTACAAGGAGGCACCAAATATATATGCGCCACACAAATCTCATGTGATATGTGTGAAGGCTGGGATACTGCCCGGGTGCTCAAACCGAAGCAGATGGTTTTCCTAGGGGGCCACTCCCCGAGCCTTCAATTTGAAGGTCTGATCCACAAGGCAATGGAGCATCGTAAGGAGATGCAGTCCCATGGAAGCCGGTGACCAACAATTGGTTCATACGGCATTTGTTCCCGCAGGATACTGGAGCCCATGTGCACCATTGATTTGGAATCCGGTTAAAGCGCCGGACGTTCGCTTTTCGTCTTCTCATTTTCGTAAGGAACACCCCCGCCACGAGAAGGCAGTGAGTAGGAGTTCTCTGGCAGAGGCTATATACGCGTGGCCATGTGAGAGCATTTCGAGAGGGAGAGCGGACTCTCCCCACTCTCGGCCGTACCAGGGCATTTGGAGGATCATAGAATTTGTACCTCTGACATGGTGGAAAAAGATGAAAAGTTACTGACTGATACATTAATAGCAAAAGCGCAAAAGTCAGTTGATGCCAAGACCTCTAATTTATTCAGTTCCAAAGAAAAAATGTTTATATCAATCTACCATATAGAAGCGAATCCAACAGCATAGTTTTAAGACAGAGATTGAAAGCAGCCATCGAGAATACCTATTATTACAATTTCTTATTCTTTCTCTCCCTCTTTGTTACTTTTTCACTTGGACTTTCATTTAATTGACCTTTATTAATTTTCATATAAAAAATGCCCTGACAAGTATATGTGTGACCAGATTGTTCGAATGTATAAAGGAAATACATCACGTTTTTCAGATTAAATCCGTCTTCTCATTGTTCTATCGAAATTTATAAAAGGGACTAATTGCTTTAGAATTCTCTTAGATAAAAATTTCCATGACTCTTATGAAGAACTCAATAAAAAACTACAGTAGAAATGCTATTGGCTTCTATCACCAGCTAATTCAGGTAATACCTCGGACCACTTAGCCATAAGCACTGACAGTTGCTAGCCCTAAACAGATTTCTTTCTAGTTATGGCTCATATACTATTTGGTAGACTAACTACTAGTGTTCAACCTCTTTTTGGTAATTAGTTGAAACTGAAGCAGAGGCCCATTTTAGTATACCAATCCGTTCAGGATGAGACATTGACCGGCCACCAAAGCCCAAGATATGTCCAGGCTAGGAGGACACCCCAAGGTGACACATCGAGACCGCGAGTTGTTGCTGATCAGGAAACGGTTGAGTCAGTGCACAGCTGCAACAGGAGATTACAGTTATCTGACCTGAGATTAACAAGCCACCAATAGCAACCGAAGCAAACTTTATGTAGCTAGAGACCCGTCCTGTGCATTTAAATCTCCGGTCAACACTATAGTAACCATCAAATACGCTTTTTTGAGATCATCTAATTGGATGCAAAACTCATCCTTAATAACATTCGGGCTGTAATCTATTGTCTCCTTGATAAAATCCTATTGGGAATCCATAATCGGTGAGAGCAGTGAAAATTTAGACTGGTCAGCAGCTTGAGTTTGTTTAGAAGTAACTTTTATCATAAGCAAGCTGCTATATGAGCTAGGAAATAAGAATTAACATTGAATGAAAAGAAGCACTTGAATTAAATGGATAAAAACTATCTTTTGTGTTAGTAATAAAATCGAAAAAGTATATCATCAAATCCATCATAAGCATTCACAATCGTATTTGCGAGTCGATTCAGTTATTGATCGAAGAATGTTTTATTAAGGAGCGTCATCAACCTTTCGATCTGGAGGTCTAATCTACAAGACAGGGAAGAAAAGTCAGGAGACGTAATTCTATGATACCTTGGACCAGTTCATGAGTCAGTCAAATCCTCAGGACTTTGAAGTTTATTTGAATTATTGGTTTGAAATAAGGCTTTTTTAAATCTTTTACATGGATCCTACATGGCTAACGAAGAAGGCTGAAGACAATCAAACAAAGAATTGGGATTAGGCCGTGAAATCACTAACTGTTGGAGTGAACCATGTTAATGAACAGACTGTCGACCAATCAGTCATATGCAACGTGTGCTGGGTTCAGGGTGCCCCAAACAATTAATCACAAGATGAAATTACCAAAAAAAATCCAAGTAGAAGAAGTGGTAGTCATAGTGACAGTATTAAACCGTATCAAACCCTTATAAAAAGTGACAAGAGAAGAATAAATAGGTAGAATGAAAAATCATATGACAACTTTAAAACCTAAGATCTAAGAGAAAACAAACAGTAAGAGTATCCACTTTATAACAACCAATTCTGAGCCACATCACCCCAAAAGCCCTGGTATGGCTGAGAGTGGGGTGGGCCCGCTCTCCTCCTCAGATAACCACCTGCTTCGGTTTGGGCACACGGGGAGAATCACAGCCAACACAAATATTATCACTACTGTATTTGCAGACCATTCATAACTTTGACACTCGACCATAGCTGCTACCTTGACGCAGTGGTCAGGCTTGCCTATCGTGATGACCCAACCGAGCTATATTGGCTGGAACATATTTCCTGTAGGTTCTACCATGACAGGCAGGTCGATTGGAGAACGGTTAGACTAAAAGCAGCAACTCAAAGTCGGAGGGCGAAGTCGTATTGCTGACTGTAGAGGGGTGTGATAGCAGTAAGTTGTTTCTCTCGGACAACCAGCATCTGCAGCGATGCGGCCTTCTCACAAGGAAGGAAGGGGTTAGAAAAGGTCGACCCTAAAATGTCACACCTCACCTTACCACATGGATTTCCGTCTCCGGGGTTAAGGCCCTTTGAAGAACGGAGCAAACACGTCAAAAACCTCCCACAAAAAGGCCGTGCGCGACCGGCTTCAAGCAATTGTGGATGTCACTCCATCAACGAACGAACAAATCAAGAGTGGGAAAGCAGAAGGACCTGTAAATATACCGGCTGAGACGCATTATAGTGTCATTGATACTTCGTTCCGTTCGCCGATTTCTCAGCGATGTCGTGATCAATTCAAACATAAGTTTTAAAATTATGCCAAACGAATTTATTTGTGTAGTAGCATACTGGCTAACGCTCCTCTTCAAGAAGGCACATATGGTATAGGATTTTTGCATCGACTTAAGAACTTCACAAATGCATTCGAGTATTGGTGTTTCAGTAGAAAACTTATTATTCCAACTTACATTCTCCTCAGATTTTCGTTTCTCTGCATTCAGTTGAGATTCCAATTCACATATTTGAGTTCCTAAATTAATCTTAGAAACTTCAGATGACGATGCCTATGAAATAAATAAAAAGGGCAAGAATAAGCAAAATAAAGAACTGTTGACTAGTCAAATCAGATCACTACATTTTTATAGAGAATAAATAAGTGAAATTCATATCCTATTGGCATTACTTTACGAAGCCTGTTTACAGAATCGACATTCTGCTGTAACTTACATCATTAAATTAATAAACCATATAGCACGGTCGTATGTTGTTATATGTCTACCCACTGACCACTTATATTCAAATGTAGCTTGACAATTTGGACAGATGCATCAATTGGCCAGTCTGGTTAGAAAAGAATAAAAAGTACAACCTACTTGTCTGAATAGATATTTCAAAGCTATTCGTGCTTCTTGGATGTTATGTAGTTGGCATAAACGAGACGAGAGCATTTGACCAGTCGAATCAGGTGGACCGGAGGCATCTGTCGACGATCTTTCACCGGCATCCATAAGTTTTTGTTGCAAATCGCTAATCACTTGTGTTTGACATTGAATCGATTCAGTTAGACTGTTCACTTCTTCAATATACATATCATAAGGTTGACCGTCTTGTCGGCAACTTTATTTTGGCTTCGATCGTGCATAAACGACCACAAAGTGTTTTACGCGAATCCATAAAATGACTCAAATGATACTTAACAGCATCCATACTGATTTGGATATCTAAATCTGTTTTGACCCAAGCGCGAACTCGTGTAGCCAAATCATATCTGATAAATGTGATAAGAATTTAGACAGTTTAAACTATGGAACGAATGTTTACTCTGAAAGTCACAAAAGAAGTTGTGCTTATAAAGGAACTGAATATAACAAATACCGATATGCAGCTGGGTGATTTAATCATGGGGCTTTCACAGTTTTTCTTGATAACACAAACTTCAGATAGAGGTGACCTATCGGAATTTCTCTAAATGGCCTATCCTGTCAGCTTTGCTCTTGATTGTTGTCAGTCTTTGATCGATCATTCCTTATGTGTTCACCTTGATTTATTATTGCTTCAAATAAGTGATAAATTGATTCTATTTTGAAAAATCTCTTGACTACTGATTGACCTGAGAACCGAGATTCTAAATAATTTTCTGGCCTTCCTTGTGTTGCCTCAGTCCAAGATACCGTTCCACAGTCAAACGCGTATACGCAATTGCCTTCATACATTGACGTAAATGAAAATATGTCGTGACCTTTAACAGGTAACTGGTGTTCATGTAAACAAACAGTAAGATCGGGGCTATCGTGCCAGATGTACTTTTTATTACAGTTGGAGCAGTCTATTTTGTACATGATATCCAACTTATTTTTTTAGATCATTTCATTTTATCGTTTGTATAATATTTATCGAAATTATTTTGCAGGTTTATGAGCCATACCTATACACTAGAGAGCCTCAAAAATCAGGTTGTACTTTTTGATGTCCTTCATATATAGTAAGATAATCGGTTTGTAGATTTCTATATTAGATTTTGAGCTTGTTCATGAGTTTTATAGATATTTCTTAATATTGCGTGGACAGCTGTTCTTTTGGAAAAATCACCAGACATTTTTCTACATCTAGCTTTCTGGCAACTAATTCCTACTATGACTAACATTGAGCACTGTACACGGATTCTAAACTAGGACTAAATGACTGAATCCCCGATTTTTCGAGTTAATAATGTTTGTGATAAACAGTAAATTTGAAGATATTCAGACCAAAATTTATGCCAGTTTTAAACAATCATATAAAGCAGATAGATGTGGGATATTATAGTTTGTATCATGGCCTATCGTTAGATGGACAATCATTAAAAAAAGCCAGAAAGTATTTGAAAGTTGAATTCACTTGATATTGTTTTACTTGAATTTCCCCATTGATGTTTTTTTTGGACTGAAATTGATCAGTCTCTTATTGGCATATGTGCATACTGTGCGTATGCCTCGATATTGCCTAAATTTACAAGCATTATAAGCAAAGATGGGTAGTGGGTAGGAGTGGAATGCAGGACGCGCGTTTCGTGCTATTTGTCAATTCACACAATATCGAGGCAGTACGCACACCATGCACATATGCCAACAACACACTGATCAATTTCAGTCCAAAAAAAAACATCAATGGGAAAATTCAAGTAAAACAATATCAAGTGAATTCAACTTCAACCCATTGCACAAGCAAGTGGCTATCAGGACTCAGTAGCTAAGTGGATAACGCGATGGCGTTTGAAGCGAACGGTACTGAGTTCGAGTCCCAGAGTGAACATCAACTCTGAGATGCAGGTACATCCAGCTGACGAGTCCCAAACAGGACGAAACGCGCGTCCTGGATTCCACTGCTAGCCACTATCCATCTTTGCTTATAAGTATTTGAAAGTTGTTTGGTACTAGTATGGGACGCAATGAGCATCCACAACCACACCGAGGACTAGGCTTAAGAACTTAAAGTCTCGTGACAAGTGCTTAGCCTTTGGACTAGTCCTTATTCAATAGTTTTTAATTTTTCATATTATTCAATAAGCGATATTGAGCAACTATCTAGCAACACCTTATAACCTATACAAGTGGACCCGACTAATCCACGACGTTCACTGGAATTCTGGGAACTACCTCTCGACGTTAGTCGCTAGTGAGAACAAGATTGTTATTATTAGTATAAGGGACAAATGTACATTCATTCACAAAATAAAATACTTTCTTACTTTTTAGCATCGTTCCCTTCAGATACACATTTATCACGTCCATTTCTAATAGCCTTTTGACGTAACAACAATTCTTTAAGTCGACGTTCAGCAGCCGCAGCAGCTTCAATACGGCGCTTTAATATAGCTTGTTGCCGTTCGTGCACTGAAACCATACGAGACATTTCACATTGAAGCCGGCGATCATGTTCTTGAAGTTTTTTCACCTACATAAAATGATCAAAATTATATCACAAAAGCTTTAAAAGATTATCTGAATAACAGTCGGGGCGTGTCTTATTAAATAGGATTTCTTGAGACTTATAATTTAAACATTTGACGAATAAGGTGATTTAAGTGACTATTACGCATATTCAGCCCACCAAGAACAAATTGAAGTGTGATAAGATAAAGTGGTACGATGAATTTACTCATTCTAGGGGTTATTGAACTTAGACTGGCTAGTAGGTAAAAACTTGTTAGTTAGGGGATTCACAGTGTAATCATGATTTATTTCAGTCAGTCAGCTATAACATATGACCAGGCACATATATGCATCGATCCAAATTGCCATAATTACTTAGCACAACAAGATCAACACCGAATTCATAGAAGCAGTTACTTCAATGGTAGTAATATATTCGACAAAAGATTGCGTATAAGGATATGACACAGGGATGAATAATTGGTTCGTACAAATAAAGTAATTTTAATCTCATGGTTTAAGGTCAAACCTTCGCCATTGTGATCGACTCTGAGTCATAACACCCAGGGTCTCCAACCACCGGTTATAATAGTCGCGGGAATCCCAACCAAATAGTCAGCATCTACAAACATGGCTCAGACCAGAAGTTAGTGACTTCAAGGAATGGTGCCACGTTTTGGTTTGAACGCCCCTAACTTTCTCTCATCCATCCCTAACACTAGTCAGCTTTGGGCACCGTGGTAATCGATATTCAAGCATACGAAATACGTGGCCCAACCATTTCAGTCGATGTAGACTGACAATCTCATCAACTGATTTACCATCATCCCTAATACGCTGGCGTCTAACCTCACTATTACTTACCTGGTGATCCAAGTAGATACGAGAAATATCTATAAGACATCTGTGATCAAATACTAGTCCTTATGAGTAGCCTCTACCCTTAATGGCCACGTTTCGCTGGTCGCGATGTGATCAATTTGAATCCAGGCTTGAGATGCGACGGAGGGCGCCAGGTAGCACATCAACGATGACGGTGCGTTGATTGGATTGTGAAAATCAGTGAATAGAATGCTTATCGATCGATGGATGCAATGAAATGAAATGTGATCGAGTAATACCGATTCACGAAAATGTCTTATTGATTTGAGCCCCAAAATGATTCGATATCAAAGATAAGACCACTAAGCTAAAAGAATAGGTATATTATGTAATAAAACAACATGCTTTACATACTAAATATGGGCATAAAATAAACATAATCAAAATATCATAAAGAATTAATGGAAATTAACTTGAAGGTTACTCATTCACCAATAGATTGAGACCTAACTGTTGAGCCTAATCTTTACGCATTATAATGAGGTGGGTTTCTTTCGTTCATTTGAATAATTTTAAGTCATTTACCATAAAGTACACATTTATTTATTCCAGTGAGAAGAGAACTTTTAGAATGAGAACTACTGATACTACTACTTATTTATTTTACTAATTTGTTTAAACACATAAACATTGATACAAGAAAATGTCAAACATATATGCTTCATATAGATGACACAATTTCTGTGAGAGTACCAAAATCGAAACAGGTGATTCTCTTAGGGGGTGCGCACTCTGAGCCTTTGCCCTAAAGGTCTAATCTACAATGCAGTAGAGCAACGTTAGGAGAGGCAGTCCCATGGTAACCGGTGACCAACAATACGTTCATATACCATTTGTTCCTTCAAGATCCTGGAGCCCATGTTCACCAGTCGTTCGGAATCAGGCTTTCCAGATCCCCTAGATGGATTTTCAATATCCACGAACTTGATTAAAGTGACGGATATTCGCTTTTTATCCACTCGATTTCTTGAACAACAGTAATGCTGCGAGAAAGAAGTGGGTAGGACTTCCATGTCAGTGATTGTATGCACATGACCACTTGAGAGCACTTCGAGAAAGAGAGACGACACTCCCCATTGTTGGCCCAACCAGGGTATTTGGAGGCTACAAGTATTTAATTATAGTTATTTTCAGATAATTGGTCAAGTTTCTCTGAACCATTAATTTGGTAATCTTAATATTAGGCATAGAGTGTTAAATATATATTCAAGTTAGATCTTCGTCAACGGAGTTTTATATACAACATGAACAATTCAGATAACACCTACGCCGTAGTGCTAACCTGGATAATGTACATTGAAGTAGCCCGTTTGATCTGATTCCAAGATAGAGTGTACGAATGTTTGCTATCGCTGATTCTCGTTTATCATCGTCGACTTAAATCGCGTTAGCCAATAACGGAATTAAATAAGTCGAATAACGAGAATTGACTTGAGAATACATATATTTCGTACATGAAGCGAATGAAGCACAGCAAAGCAAAATGACACGTATGGAAGATGGCTGGGAAGCCAACTCCCTTTTAGTCAAGTGTTATTCCATATTTATAGGCAGACAAAATAAGCTACAGACATACAATGAATCATGTGACATGAAATGTACACTCATATACGCTCATATAAAAAAACAGTCAAGACTGACAAGCGAATAATTGACAAGGTCAAAATATGGCTCAAGTAAAATGAATAAAATAGGATGTCCGGAAGTTAGAATAAGGTACATGGGCTTGCCATAATAACTGACACTACATAGCCCCCTCGTAGAAAATAGCACATTTTAAAAAAATGGCTGTTTTCGAAAATCACAGTGAAGTGGTGCGTAGTTACGCACGTGGAAGAATAGATAAAATGAACGTAATGGTTACTAATCAGCTAGTTAGAGGCATCCACATACATAATAGGAGGCGACTTCGAAATGAAAAATGTATGTTGTGATAACATAAATTGCCGACCTCGACTAAGTGAATGAATGTAATATTAGATCAAAATGACATGAAAAATTGGAACGAACTCACTTAAAGGAGGAAAATTTCACGTTTTTGAATAGTAAAAATATCCCAAAGAGTTCTCACAAAGTTAAGTGGAATTTTCATAAAATGATAATTTGTTCGGTGAGTAATATGATTGTGAAAATGTCAATTTAGTGACAGCACGAACAAGATTAATAATTCCACATTCGGTCATCATATTGGCAATAATGTAATAATAAGCATATAATGATAATTTGAATCGTAATGGAACAATCCGACAAATGGATCAATGAGAATGGTTGACATGAGGACAAAGTATCAATAAGATAATACGACTTGAGCATGTCCATGTCATGTTGCACAGGCTGTGCTGATTGCGTCGGATTGGAGATTGCGCTGGCTTCGCTGAATTTGTTCGTCGAACGAATAGAGTGCAGAAGTTCCTTAATCGACGTAGCTTGCTGCGTTGCGTTCGTCGTCGGCGGGCTTACCAATGAAGTAGCCCGTTTGATCTGACTCCAAGATAGAGTGTACGAATGTCTGCTATCGCTGATTCTCGTTTATCATCGTCGACTTAAATCGCGTTAGCCAATAACGGAATTAAATAAGTCGAATAACGAGAATTGACTTGAGAATACATATATTTCGTACATGAAGCGAATGAAGCACAGCAAAGCAAAATGACACGTATGGAAGATGGCTGGGAAGCCAACTCCCTTTTAGTCAAGTGTTATTCCATATTTATAGGCAGACAAAATAAGCTACAGACATACAATGAATCATGTGACATGAAATGTACACTCATATACGCTCATATAAAAAAACAGTCAAGACTGACAAGCGAATAATTGACAAGGTCAAAATATGGCTCAAGTAAAATGAATAAAATAGGATGTCCGGAAGTTAGAATAAGGTACATGGGCTTGCCATAATAACTGACACTACAACATATATGTTATACGACATTACCCTCCACCTATAGAGACATTGACTCTTACTGTAAACAGTGTAAAAACATATTGACTATGAAGTTGAAAGCTGGAATACAATCATGTCCAATATTTGAGGAAATTATATGACAGAGAGTCACAGTGACACAGATTCATTCACTGAGTACACTTTCGTCAGTTTTGAATATAGGATTATTATATATTTTGAATTTGCTGATTCTAATTGTTTCTTACCAACGCCTTTTAAATTTTTAATTTTGTTCCAAGCATTTTATTCACTTACAGATATGAGATAAATTCACATTTAATGTCATGCATCATACAATTCTGCTTTAAACAGGTATCTAACTTGGAAGCTGTCTAACATTGTAAGTAAGTTATTAATGATGTTGACGTGAATTGACATACTTGATCAGAAGATATAAAACATGTATATAACTATCAAATATAATAATACATTGTAGGAGCTGAATAGATAAATAGATCCTTTCAAGGTGATTTGAATAACAGCTACAGATTGATGTGTGGTCGATGCTACTTATATCAAGAATTATAAGTAGTATGTAACACTAATTAGAAGTGGAATGGTTAGCAGTAGAAGATTGAGAAGATCGAATTGAAGAAAACAGGGATAGTAATATCAATAGTAATAAAAGAAACGTTCAAACACAGAGAATATGGTGTGAAAAGAAAAAATGAATTCGTGAAATAAAGATAATGTTAATACTACAAATTGAACTGAGAGACAGTAACGTCGATCTTGATCAGTGTCATTTAAGATCTTCATCTAATGAATGAAATTGTCTCACGTTCAATAAAATAACGAAATCCACCTCTTCATAAACAGCTCAGATCAATAGCCAACATCGTTTAAAGAATTGTAAATAATTTTTATCAACTGAGGTGGTTGAGACATGCGTATCGTATACCTAACCACTGTCTGCCTCAACAGGACATGTTGTCTGGTGTAAGAATAGGATGAAACAAAGATGGGGGTGCACAAACAAAACATATGGCATCTGTCCATGAAATCACTCACAATAAAAATAAGTCATGTTTGTACGTGTAGACTGCCTGGTTGGGGTCTGCGTGATCATCGAAATCAGTGGTTACAGACTTCGAATGACATGGCTCAGAATCATTTGTTTGTGCCACAGCTTCATTCGTTCTTCGGTTTCATCAAAATTCTGAGCTTCTGAATTGCTCATAGTGTCCTTGGCT